TTCCCTCTCGACACTTGTGGGAAGTAAGGATAGCATAATGAAAAGAATATGGAAAATAAAGGCAGATCAGAGATTTAATACTGACACATCTTTTGGGGGGGATGTGCCTTGTTCCTCCCTCAGGGTTGTCTTTGGCTTATGTCACGACAGCAGTCTTATTGTGTGTTTTGGGTCAGCTGTCTTGACTTGGCTCCAACTTTTTTTTATAAGTAAATGCTCTTTTGTATGGAAGAAATTTTGATTTATTTTTATATATTTGTATAAAGTACAGTTCAGTACAGTATATTATTTACTGTATATTACTGTATATATATTTAATTATACAGGGGGTCCCCACTTATTATTGTAGATGTGCTCCTACAAAATGCTATTGTAAAGAAAACAATAATAAACAGATTAGTGTTTCCTAAAAAAGGTGATGTAATGGGAAATTTTTCACTAGACAAAAGACAAACCGTAATAATTTTGTCAAAATATCAGTCAAACTAGGATGTACATTGTGCCGGCCCTGCACTTTTGCATCGGCTAATTTATCTTGGCACTTACCCGGTAGGGTATGTAACTCACTGAACACTGGCCCTAATCTTCTCAGCATTACCATTAATGAGTCTTACAGTGGTAGGAGATTTCAGTGATGCCAATATCCACAGCTCCCTCACCAGTGTCAGTTTCCATTAAGATTTGATTTTATACCCAGATTAATTTTTTCTTGTTTTCACTAGACTAACACTTGCTTTATGTTTTAGACACATGATGTTGGGGTTATAATTTGTATCTTGCATTTTGCTTTCGAGAACTAATGTAAACACTGAAGAGGTGGGGCCCCTCTTGGGGTCCTCCGCACAATCCCACATTTCTGACACAAACTAGTTATGAAGTAAGAGATAGTGACCAGTGACATAACAAAGCTTGGTACTGTACGATGCTAATCAGACACTGCCCGTAAATTAATCAGAAACTTATTGACAAAACAAAAAAACAAAGTGACTTAAATGGGGATCCCCTGTATACAATATTAGTTTTTTATATTCCTGCCTTTGCATATAGGAAGAGTATTGATTCAGGGGTGAGAATGTTGGCAAGTTATGATATCAAAGAATATCAGAAAATTTAGATTTTCTTACTTTTATATATGACATCATTTTGTTAGGAAGGGAATTAGGGTTCAGGGATTTGGTAGTGGATCTCACACGATCTATTTTAGGTTCTGAAAATCACTGGCCTGAGTCACCTTGCATATTAAAACATTACATGTTAGTGGTCGAGAAATAGAAAACCAAAAGCTTTTAAAATGACAATAACTTTTTTGTCATCATAGTTCCAAATTTCATAAAACCTTTGTAATTTTTGACTAATTTGGAGAAAATGCAAGGCCATTATATCTCACTCATCCCATGCACCACTAACCAACCACTGTACTCTACAGTATGTAAAGACAAGGCAATATAATGACATTAGAAATTAAGTAAAATCCATTGCAACTTCTCTTGGGGAGCTCTCTGCTAAAAAGACAGATAAAAGCCATTGCTAGTGCTTAAAAGGGTCACAAAACCACAAATAAATGACTAGTAGTACAAGATCAGATGCTGATTGAATTCATAATCAGTTCAAATTAAGTTCAATGTGATTTACTCATTTTCATATTTTTATCCCCATGGTTGTGCAATGTGTCTGTGGAGAAATATTTAAAGACTAGAGCAACTAAATGAAATTGTTAAGAAGTCATAGCCGTATATTGATGAAGTTGGGAGAATAATTCTTTCCTCGGGGGGTCCATTTTCCCCTGTTAGCATAAGTGTATGGTTGTACAGTATTGTTCATTCTCATTTTTGTGCTAAAAAATTTGGGGTCACAGTGGAGCCATTTCAAGGGCAACTATATAATACTGTAACCATTACCGTGTAGGAGTGGTAAGTTAGTGTATGTATAATGTTGAGGAAAAGCAAAACAGTATACATGTAGTGGTGAAAGATTCCCAGTGTGTGTGTGTGTGTGGTGGCTGATGTTGTGTAACTCCTTGTTTACATGTTACTTCATCAGGTACAGTATGTAAGGAAATCATTACAAGTTGTGGATGATGTAATTAAGGGTTTTACTGTAACTTAGAGCATTATTGGTATCAAGATGAAGATAACCTTGAACTGGGTTATCTGAAATTTTGATGTAGATTTTTAAAATTACTGTATAGCATCAGTTCAAGTTTAAGAAAACTAGGATCAATATATGGGCAATTTTTGTGTGTGTGTGTGTACAGGTATGTGTTTATGCATAGTGTGTGTGTTAGATAATCCATAAATTATGTGTCCTTTGAATTGATTCTTTGAGTAATTGGTGGTGTTTTTTGGCTGTCATAAAGTGGAAGATGTTAACTTGTCATTAGTGTTGGGTTTGTTTATAAATACATTTAGTCACATACAGTACTTAAGAGTGCTAGTACAGTACAGTATAATAATTTTATCGTGTACATTTGATAAAGGATTTGAAATTTTTGTTTGTGTTCTTGTTATTCCAGAGCCCACAGAGGAAGAGCTCGCCACAGGTCACGATCCAGGTCACGCTCTTGGCATCGTAGCCGCTCCAGATCTCGTTCTTGAGGAACAGGTCAGCAAGTTCATTTGGATTTGGTTGCGGTATTATTAAGCACCCCAGAACAGCTATTGTGGGTTTCTGAAAAACCTGTTTGGAGGACCAGAATGAATGCTGAATGAAGATCAAAGTATAAATTTCCAGGTCATTTGGGAAAGTTACAAGAATGACTCTACTGTATTCTTCAAATTTATGAAACACTTCATTTTCATTTGGTGAGCTTCATTATTTACTTTTTTTTAGAAGCATTGAGGATCAAATTAACAAAGTTACATGAAATGAGAGCTGAATGTGGTCACTGCTGGCACAAATTAGGAAATGGTACCTGCATCTCATAGATCTGGCTTTTTTAATTTGATACATTATTTGTATTATGTGTTAGTTTATGTACTTCATGTTTAGTTATAATTGAATATTGTAGTTGTCAGTCATTCTTTCCCACCTGCCATCTCTGGAGGTCATGACAGTTGTGTTCAGCTAAGTACTCTGTGAAGTGTTTCTGGCTAAGTGGAGCTCCACCACTTGTATTAGGCACAACATTCCTTTTCTTTCTTATGTTTGGAGTATGTAATAATCTTTTAATAAATTAAAAGATAACTTTGCTTGAATGTATATTCCTTACTTTTAACTTTTAATATATTGCCATGGCAAAACAACTTCACTAGTCCTTAGCAGAATATAACTGTTTGTTGGAGAACGTAGGAGTCAAAACAGCATGAGATCCCACTGACTGGGAAAATCAGTTGAAACATTTCAGTAATGTCATCTCTTTCTCTTTTGAAGTTATATTTGGATATTGAACAGAAAATCCATCATTTACACCTAGTGGATTATCTGACTAAAACCTTTTCTTACCACACTAATCAGATGCCAGAATCTCCTCCACCTCCTTGACCATTACCCAGGTAACAGAATGTGGTAGAAAAAAAAAATCTGACAAATATGATTACATTAAAGTTGTGTAGCTGTACACTTGGCAGATTACATCAGTTATATTTTGTAGTATATACACTTAAAGGTTGATAGTTACATGTAGACCCTTGATAAATATGTCAGGTTGGTTAACAATCTATTGGCAGATTTTATGTTATGAGTTACAGAAATAGTCGTGTTAAACATAAAAAAATTATAATATAAGTTTATTGCATTGAGCTTTTCTTGGCTAAAGACTCTGCTTGTGGGATTCAGCAGATGGGGGAGTGACAAAATCAGTGATGTAGTGGTTAGTTTTTTTATTGGAAATGTTGTCGATCAATGTATTTTGAATTCTTGATTATTGTTGTTTGCAAATGTCTACTCACTGGGCACATTCACTTCATTGCATTACACACAACACCACTGAAATTTTTAACAGTTCAACAAAAATAAAATGCATAGATGTCTCAATGTGACCAGCAAAAAATAATTACCATTAAACACATTTCATGCAGTATTTGGTGTTTCGTTTCTTATTGTATCAACAAAAAGTTTATTAAGAGTTAACTTTGTACATTTCAAAGTAAGAGGTTCACTAGTCCAGTGAGTGGCAAGCTAATGGCCATCCTTCCCCAAGCCTTGAGGCTATTATAATTACACATTGCCTAGTCACCAGTCGCAAAATACACAACATTTTTATTCACCCTTTACAACACATGGGACTTTTGTTGCCACTGGTCACTGTTGAACAATTTGTGGCGACTTAAAAATTTTGAGAAATTCTCTTGAGCTGGTTGATTGTAAATGTGGGAGCTTTGTAAAGAATACCTATTAAATGTGTGATTGTTCATAGCTTTATTTTTAAGAGTGAGCTCAAGTGTTTGTTAATTAAGTAAAAAAAAAACTAAAAATGGGTATTTTATTGGGTAAATAATGGATAATGGGGAGAGGATGGCAACACATACTGCATATCAGTACTGTATATCGGTGACAAGTAGACACTGTTCTTATATTATAGGGCCAACAGCTAATGTTATGTAACCAGACTTTATTTGCAGTTATTAAGTAATTTGGTTTTCACAGTAAATGCTTTTGAACTGAATTGTATTGGTGATTAGCTTTCCCTTCACTTTTGTCCAGTATCATAGGTCCAGGGGATACTATATAAGATATTATATCTCTTTGAAAGGGAAAGTGAAAAGGGTAAGAAAAGGCAGATTAAAAATGTGTATTTTAATTGTTTGTGTTTTAAGTAGAAATAACAATTGCTACAACAGCCTAGTCTGGTATGACAAAAGCTAATATTTCCATAGCTTATAGTCAGACATTATCAATCATTTTGTTGTCCTAGACCTGTGTGATAGGTCGTGAAATTAGTGAAATATTTGATCAGGGAAGAATATTTGTTTTATTTTTTGTCCTGATCGAGGGTTATACGTTGTCATCACTATAGTTAAAGTGTTGTTTTTTTTAAGTACACCAAGGAAATATATGACATAGTGGGCAATAGTTGTGTGTGTATTTTTGTTAAGTATGATATATTCAGTAGTTTAAAACTATGATTACTGTGAGCCTTAAGTTTGTATGCAGTTTTTAAGAAATGATTATTCACTGTCTTATGATTTTTATTTTTAAGGGTTTGTTAAAGGATTAAATGGCTTGTAAGAAAGTGCATTTGTTGGCTTGTAAAGAGCAATGTTTTTTTGTTTTTTAATGAATTCATGAACTACAGGGGGTAGTTGTAAATAAAATATTAGAATTTATAACTTTTGCTAGAAATTATATTAGGTGGGAGGGGGGGTGATGAGGTTATTACATAGTGCAGGCCCTAACATGGGTCTAGGGCAAGATTAGTTTACTGTTTTGTCAATTGAACAGTTGACCAAAAGTAATTGGCTTATTTTTGTTGTCATTGGTTTATTTGATTGTAATTTAGTGAATGGTTACAAGAAAATGAAAGTTACATGTACAACAGTGTTGTTTTGATTGTGGATTAAAATTGACCAACAGTGTATTTTGGTTGTGTACATGGATTAATAAATCTTGATTTATTTCCTTCTGCATTATTTATATAAGACCTCAGAATGTTGTAGGGGATGGGTGAAGACACAGGCTGCTCCACAGTTTAGTGAGTACAAGATTATTTTTAATTGAAATAAATTTTTTGGAAGAACCTTATACTAATGTTAAAAAAAAAGTATCAGGTCTGTGTATATGTTAATTTGGGATGGAGAATAAACAGATTAACAGGGCAGTTTGGCTGAGAAATATTTTGTTGGCAATAAATCATTTGTAACTATCTGTACAATTTAAGATGCGTAATGTAAGTATGGTACATTTCAACTTCAAATTAATAGGATTAGTTTAGACTTGGTGCACCATTTTAATTCTCTTGTTACCATATTAAAATTAATACCACCCACAGCTTGTCCTTGTGATTCTCTTTATATGACTTTTGCATCTTTATACTGGACTGCAAATCCCTTTTGTAATTACAGTACCTTTCTTGTACAGCTTTCAAACAGCACTTAATTTTGTTATGTAAGGCATTCCAATTGAATGTTTATTTTAGAAAGGGATATATATCATATTAATATTTGCATTATTGTACATTACTGAGCTTAATTTCATAATGTTTCAAAGTAGTACTGGATGATGGTAGCAGTACACCAGGCCGGAGTGAGATATGTTGTGTTGTAATGCAGATGGTGGTAGTCGTCGGGTCATCTACAGTGACAGTAAGAGAAGCAATCCCTCACCTCTCACAAGTGGCAGTTTGCTGAGGTCCACCTCTGACCTGAGGAAATACACAGAATTTTAATTTTTTTTTTTTTATCACCTGCCTACACCTAAAGGACAGAGATGCTTTTAACATCAGCAACACTCAAATGTAAACACATGAGAAATAACTTGGAACAAAGTAGTTGGTGAAAGTCTCACTCTCAAAGCTACAGAACAAGTTACAGTACAGTATTTAATTAGATAGACAGGTATTCAGTAAAATTGTCATACAAGTTTACAGTTTGTTCAGTTTGAATATGTAGGTATACAGTTCATCATGTATACATACAAAGCAGGTATAGAGTTCACATAGACTGTGGAGGTAAACAATTTCCAATGTACCCAGACAATGCTGGTATACAAAAGTATCAGTTATTATGTAGTTATTATTTAAGTTGATTTTATTTACAAGAAGCAGTGTCAACCATCTGTTATAACCCAGAGGGAAAAAGGGGTCTCAAATGACATGGTGTCACACATGTAATCTGTATTGTCTGACATCATAAACAGAAGCAGTCTCTATTAACTGACATGTGTCAATAAAAAGAAGTACAGTACATGCTGTAGTGTCTATTAATTATCTATTTAACATACTTCAATGATAAGGTGTGCCTACCAACTGACATGTTCCAAACAGAAGAATTCATTGTGTACTGTCTGTCATGTAGACAGAAGAGGACAAGTAGCAGTGTTATACCAACTAACCCGGGCTCAGTTTTGACTGATGTATCTGTGATGGAGCGAAGGACGACCTGGCCGGTATGAGGAAGCTCTATGTTGGCGCCATGATGCAAGTTAAGCTCCAGATCCTCCTCTGACGTGTTGATCACCAGCATGTATGTCTCTGATTCTTCCACATATCTACATACAGATCCAATAAATTCTGCTTTGTTTCTTCATACACGGTAAAAAAATTGCAAGACTTCTGAAATACAGGGTGTTTAAAAAATGCATAAACATTGCCTTAGAGATTTTTATGGCAATCAAATGGATGCTTGGGAGACCTCACACACACCAAGTGAGGAAAATGTTGCTGTTGTCATACCAACATTCATGCAACCGCCACAAAAATCTGCAAGGCAGTGTGTATACATTTTTCTGAAACACCCTGTAGCATGTACATTACAGCATCAAAACTATATACTTTTACTACGAGTTTAAAATTGTTTATGAAGTAACAAAATTATTTTCAAATTATTGTTTACCACAATATTTGCTATGGTGAGAAAGGCTGTGAATTGTCACAGTCATTTGCACTTTAATTCCTGTACATAAAATCTAGTTTACAATGGACTCTAGTACAGTACAGATGTACCTCGCTTATCCAAATACAGTATGTAATTTTTCAACCACTTTCTTGCTATCTGAATGATTTGTGCTTGTATGAAAAATGGTCTCAGCAAAAATTCTAATCATATGTGCCCGGGAATAAGCCGGGGCGGCATAACGTCACCTTTTCTCCCTACCACATATCTCGTCGTGTGCCATTTGCTTAGTGTTCGGTTGAAGTGCAGTGCTCTCTCTCTGTCTATCCATGTGTATTTGTGCCATCCTTTCCTGAATCTGTACACAATGGCATCCAAGTGTTATGCTAATTACTCGCTAACCCCACAAGCTTGAAATAATGACACCTAAACGTGGGAATGCCCTACCAAGATCAGGAGTAACTTGCCTCACATAAGGTAATATACCAACTGATAATAGTACAGTATATGTATTTTATTAGTTTATAATTTTTAGGTATAATTCTGTGGCATTTTTGTTGTTTGTGGACTAAATTTTTTTTGGTATACAGTATTGTGGTTTTTTTGTTGTTCATTAACTGATTTCATTTTTTCCGGTAATAGCTATACTGTATAGTACTGGTGTTTTTTTGTCGATTGAGAACTTAACATTTTTCCCATTTATTATGTTATTCATTATACCTAACCCATTCAGACAGCGAGGGATACCTTTACTGTACTGTACAAACCTGAGAAAACTGAAAATGTCCTCAGTGACGAGTGGGAAAGCATAATGACCCTTCTTGAAAACCTCTTCCTTTCTTAGCTTTGTCAAGTCCTTGTAGATTTTGAGATGACTATTTTTTGCTTTTGTTTGTGCCTCCACATTTAATGTTTTATAATTGGGGTTGACAGGCAGCCACGTGGTGTTGGCAGTAGTAAATCCTGCCAGGGAAGAGGAAATAAATTACACAATGATACAATGTAGATAATTACAGTACTGTATTATAAACAGCATATGCAACATAAATAATTTTTTTTGTATTTTACTCAGTTAATTTTAATGTTTAACCCTCTACACTGTAACATGGATCAAAAGAGTGAGAGAGCAAGGTATAACAAAGTGATCTACTACAGTATTACAGAATACTATATTTTATTAACTAAGAGTTATTATCATATCTTATTTCATATACTGTAAGCCTCAAGTTAAAGAAGTCACTCGTTCAGAAAATTGTCAGAGGTAACTTCTTTGGAGTAAGTGTTTTGAACTCTTGGAATAACCTTTCAGAGAATATTGTGATGGCACTGAGTGTAGCACAGGTTCTGGTACATTCTGGAGCCAATGCATGCCCAGTACTTTCCAACAGTGGGTGACAGAGCAATGACTGACTACCTGACTGGCAACAGATGTAAACTTTTTTATGAATTCTCTTTCTCTCTGTTTATTCTCCATATCTGTTTCTCTCATACCAGTCAACTAGGGGTTGTTCTACCACTTAAGTACCCTGGCAGTCTCCCTCTCTCTGTCACTCAATGAGGGGTTGTTTCTCAGCATAAGTATCCTGGTGGTCTCCCTCCATCACTCACCAGCCAGGGAGGAGTTGTTCCACTGCATGGGGGTTCTGGCAGGGTCTCTGCTGTGTTCCTGGTAGTGCTGAGGTCCCCACCGACATCCCTGAGGATCCTGCGTGTCTTCCCAGCTGACAAATGTGTTCTCCATCCCTGATGGTAAAACATCACCATTTCTTTGTAATTTTCTTAAAGGAATGGAGCTACTGCACCAAACAAAATATAAATCATCAATCATGCCCCTGTACTAACCTTTTGATTTAATTTAATTGCATGGTCAGACATTGTGTCAATGAGAGTACCATCACCTTTGGACAGCATGTGGGTAGAAAAAATATAAAGTACAATAAAAAAATATTAGAAATAAACATGTATGAAACTGCACTGCCAGTCATGGGCAACTGTCGAAGGCCTCTTCTAGGAAATAAGAAAAATATATCGGATTTCTTCATGCTATTTGTGAAATAATACCTTTGATGTCAAATATGAGGCAATGTAGTTTTCCTGTTTATCTATACTTGTTAAGGTGAGTGATAGGGTACCAGACAGCAGAAGAGTCATGACTCACCTATTTCCTCGCCATAGTAGGTGACAGGGGTGCCTGGCAGAAGTAGGGTCATCATATTGAGGGCGTCAACAAGATCAGTCCCAAGGCGTGATGCTACCCGCCCATTGTCATGGTTACCCAGCTGGTAACCAGAAAATATAACAGGTAAGAAAAACACACAAAATAAGACAGATAACCCACATGTCAGCTAAGGACCAAGTATTTCTAAATAACCAGAATACAGTATGATATTCCAGAACAAATTAAGAAGCAGTAAAAAATAATGCCCAAAGGTAGTACTGTATTGTATTATAAGTTTGCTGAGACTTTACCTTAACTGAATACAATTACTTTGTGTTAGATGATAGTTATGTTAAAATAAATTGGAATTCTCTACACTGAATTACTTTTGTGTCAGTACAATTTCAGTCCTACTTTTGGATGTTATTTTTGTGCATTAGCCACAGTTATTCAGCTGGGTGCATTAATATTTATATATATACTTGTACTCACAGTTTACTTTATTTTATTTTATCCTCTTTCCCACATTTGCTCATAACAAATTATGAGAGAGAGAACTCATGGTATTTTTCCCACTGGTGTCATCATTGAATTTTGTGAATCTGGATCCGGGATTTGGTTTCACAAAGATTCTGTACATTGATATACCTGTACTGTACTCTGTATTCATCTTAGTGTGCAGAAACTGAGAGTTCTGTCCCTAATAATTATTAATTGTGAATAGACTAGTGTAATTATTAACATTATTACGGTATGTGCTTAAAGACCTATGTTATTGAAGCACCAGTACTACATTATAACATCAACAACAAGTGTGCAGAGCAAATGTTTCTAGCTAAGGCAGTCACAGTATAATATTGATGTATGTTGTTTTTATACTAAGAACCCAGGTCCTGTTCTGTCAAGTGTTGCTGGAAAAATTTGTGCTGCATTCCTTAATATGTATATTGCTGAAGTCAAAATACACTTTGATGTTCTCACAAGCCAACAAAAGTAGAATGATTTATTATGATCTTTCCAACAGCTGAACCTATTCAATAAATCACATGGCAATACAACAACTGGGTAATAAGTGACATTCATGCTCATATTTTCCACTGTTGTATTTTATTATTTAATTTTATTTATCATTTCACTACTTAGCTTACTAACCATTCAGGCAGTGGGTCTGTTTTTTGTTGCTTTATTGTGCCTTTTATTTTCCAGTGTTAGTAGAGGATGAAACCGGAGTGCCCAGTAAAATCTGAGCGTGTTTAGTACTGTAGTGTCACTTTGGTTAATACCTTTCTCAAATCTGTCCCAAGGTAGGGCTTAAACCCAGGACACACTGGTGAGAGATACAAGCGTTAGCACTGTACCACCAACACACTCTCACTGGGTCTAGTATAGTTAATTTAAGAAGTTGTAACTGTTGTTTGTCTGCAGTATAGTGAACTAAAAGTAAACATTCATATACTGTATACCCTGTACAGTATGTTTCTAAAATCAAGAAAAAATATTTAACTTTTCATTACTCAATTGTATTGTACATTTATCATTTCACTTATCAGCTTCCTAGTCATTTGGTTGGTTGGTCTGTTCTTTGTTACAGTACTTTGTTATGACTTTTATTGTCCACTGTTGTATTTACTGTATGTTCACAAGACAAGAACCTTGCAGTACAGTAATTTATGTTCACAAGACAAGAACATTAAGTTTATTGAAATTTACACTCACAACAAAATAAATAAACTTTGTTATGACAGAATTTACAAGTGACACTCACCACCCAGTTGGGCCATTTTCCCTCTGGCATACTGTCAAGCCAGAGGCCAATGGTGGACCTGAGAGTATGACCTGTCAACTGGCTGCGGTTCTGCAAATTATCGATGAGCAGGAAATTGAAGGGGAAGTCAGCCAGGGAGACAGTGTCATTACCATAATACTGCATCACTGTGTCTACATTGTTGTTGTACACCTCAGCCATCAACACTCTGGATCACACATATACAGTACTGTATATAGAATTGTAACAACCTTACATTTCATTGAATCTAATAACAATTAGGATAACAATATCATAATAATGCAAGTGACTTATGATGATAATGTGGTCGTGAACATGAATTATTAAAGAGAAAGGAAGATATACTTACCATACAGGATACAGGTGGTACAATGTTAATGCACCTATCTTTCAACCTGTATCCTGGGTTTAAAATCTCTGGCCCTGGACAGATGAGAAGGGTGTTGTTCAGTGTAACACTCCCAAACATGGCAGGTTTTCAGCTGTACTAACACTGGGCAATAAAGGACATAACAATAGTATAACAGAGGACAGACCAACAGCCTGAACTGCTAGTAAGCTGATAAATGGTGAAAATATAAATAATACCAAAAATACTGGACTGACACCACATAAAAGGAGCTTCATTGTTTCAAGGTTCAACTGTTCAGGTCATGCTAATCAGTGTAGTCAGTCAAGTAATAATACTGTAACAATAATATAAAAACATGCACAAACAATGACTTTAATTCTAATTTTCTTAATCTACCATTTCATCACTTATCACCTCACTAGCTGTTTGGGCCGTTGATCTGTTTATTGTTCCTTTGTTACGAACTCTATTGTCCAGTGTTATTACAGTGCGGGAGGAAAGTGGAGTTGGGGAAAGTCTGTCAAGTTTGGTGGTGTCACTTAGGATAACACCCTTCACACATCTGTCCTGGGCTGAGGACTGAACCCAGGGCACAGTGTGAGAGGTACTTTATACACATTATCACTGTACAGTTCCACCTTTTACATTAATATTAATTATGGAACATTCTGTTTATTCTCATTTAAAATTAATTTAATATTTTCACTATTCCCTAAAATTCTTGATTCAGTCTATAAAGCTTAACAATAAACCTCTAATTTATGATCTAATCTTATTACTACTTTGCTGTCACTTGGAATCGAATAAAACAATTATGTACAGTAATACCTCGCTTTACGCGGTCAATTGAACCCATGGAGGCCCGCGTAAAGCGGGAAATGCGGAAAGTGAACAACAGAATATATGGGATTAATTGAAATAGAGACTGGGCCAACCCCCAAACTCCACTTTTTCACACATAATACCTACGTTGTAGTAAAAATAACTTCTTAATTTTATGATGGTATGCACACACACTTAATAATTAAGAGAAATATCAATAACATTAGGTTTTTTAACACTTACATTGGTAGAAAAGATGGTTGGGCACACAGGGATGGGGTGTTGGTTCCGAGGCAGAGGGCAGATTATTGGCCCTCACCTGTATCACTTATATCAATTGTATCACTATCCACCACAGAGGCTTGCAGGGCCTCTTTGTCAAACCCCTCAAAGTCCATATAAGCCCATATCCTCACTATCACTGACTTGGGCCGGCTGTGGTGGGTGGCGGGTGAAGAACTCGGTAATGTTTTGATGACTGGGCGACCTTGTGTGCACCCTGCCCGCATATATGAGTAGATGCACAGCGTAAAGTGAACATTCCGGTTCTGGCGGGGTACCGCGTAAATGTAGAAACGCGTAAAAAAAAAACAACGCGTAAAGCGGGGTATTACTGTAGATGCAAGTTACAAGCCTTATTAACAGGGTTCTTTCCTATTGGTTATGTTCCATTAGGTTGTGATCCATTAGGTCTGGGGACAATCTAATAAGTCACTTAAAATTTTTAGTGCTTTAAATACTGACATTATCAACAAGCTTTCAATATGAAGATAAAAGTAAGGCTTGTACTTACTTGTCGGGGTACTTATCAAGTAAATGTCGCCACTCCCTCAACACAGTGAAGGTCTCCGGCTGGTTGATGGTGTAAGTGTGGTTGAGGTAGTTGTACTCATCAGGGTCAGTTATGTCGGAGTCAGAGGCTACAGGCTCGTCCAAGCTCAGGTCTGCGGACAGTTGTGGAAGAAAATTATTAAAGCCATTAGTACAGGGGACACTACTTTTAATTTGTAACCATTTTGCCACTTATCAGTTTATTAGTCATTTGGGAAGCTGGCCTGTTCTTTGTTACATTGTTATGACCTTTATTGTCCAGTGTTAATACAGGAGGAAACTAGCTGGGAATTAAACCCGGGACACAGTTGTGCAAGATACACGTGTTATTACTATACTGTATCACCAATATTTTAATGGTAATTAAGATTTTGAAGGCAATTTTATTGGGCAAGACCTGTTTTATACCTTCTGTGGTTTGGGAAGGCTGATTTATAATTCTAAATACAGTAAGTGTTTTAGAGATTTTTTTTTTTTTGGCAGTATTTCAGTGTTATGTGAGACTTTGTTATGTAATTCTGTTTGGGTAAAGGGACTGTGCAATGTTCCAATGGCTTATAATACTTTATACAGTACAGTAATTAGTTTTGTAATTTTTCTATGACAGTATGAACAGCTGATAGCTTTGTTGGCTATCCTTGGCTAAATTGCCTTACTGTTTACTATTGTTTGTATACAGTAATGCACTGTCTAGGTACATTGGATATGGTATACAGTACCTGCATTGTCTATATGCATGCTGAACTGTAGTGTATATGTACCTGTAGTGCCCATATACTGTACATGCTGAACCCATTGCAACTTGTAAGATGATTTTACTCAATAGATATCTACCTGTGTATATACAGTATCTATATTCTGTACAGTGTGTAAATTTGAAGTACAAGGGAAAGGGTTCATAATTTTTAAAGGGAATACAGGTATTTAACATTCGCCTTAAAATACAGGTATAAATTGAACTTGATTCTAATCTTTGAATTTGCAAATGACTTTTACTTCTCTCTCATGAGTAAACTATAATATCTCTTAAGTCTTAGTGAGGTTTATAGTTGACTAACTGATGAGTAAGAGATGTCAGTGTGTAACTTGTAAGATTATGGGCTTCAACAAAGAGTAATCAAGTGCTTCAATTATAACCAAGTGAGCTTCAGCCAAAAATGATAAGCAGGGCCTTCAAGAATAATCAAGGAACATCAAGAAACAATGATCATGATGGCAGTAGTAATAATAAAAATAGAAAGACAACTGTAATATAGCAGATATGGTCTCACCATGTTCTCCACACTCACCTTCCACTTCAAATAGGTGCTGCAGGGAATCAACCCGGAAGCCGTCAACACCCTTGTCCAGCCAGAAGGTGAGTACTTTCTGAATTACCAGAGAAAGTTTAAGTGATAATATTAAGTCTCAGAGTAAGATTAAATGATAATATTTAGTTTGAGATTAAGAGTAATGGGATAATATTAACTCCTAGGGAAAGACTAAATGATAATACAGTTTCAGAGGAAAAATTTGTAATATACAGTACTGTACTGTTCTGTGACACCAACAACCACCTTCATCTCCTGTGTGACATTTGGGTCACGGTAGTTGAGATCGGGTTGTTCTGCCAAGAACTGGTGGTAGTAGAACTCCCCTCTGTCTTTGTTCCACGTCCAAGCTGATCCCCGGAATACGCTCAGCTGTAAGGTAAATTTACTTGTAAATTCTAATCAAGTTCAGAAAATTGTCAGGGCAAACTAATTTGTAGTGAGAATTGTGAACTCTTGGAATAACCTGCCAGTGTGTGTTGTGACAGCACTGTGTGAAAGCTTATTCAAGACGAAACATGACATTGGCTTAGATCTCTACTGCTAGCCGAGGTTGTGGCTTCCAACAAGCTGATCGGCAGAGGGTGACAGTAGGTCGCGGTGTGAACTTTACTGGAGGTGAGAGAGTATCATGTTATAAGATTATCCAACCCCTCCCAGGCAGTGTGCATTAGAGCATGGATTATACTGAACCCGCCTGGGAAGACTGTCGGTAGAAGTTCTCGTGTGAGGGACTGGCAGGGAGTAAAGATATACTGTAGTCCACTTGGAGGTCTCTAGTTGTGTGTGAGGCCAGTCAAGGAGGGGGCAGAGTACTCACACTCTCCAGTGCAGGACCACCGTCAGCCTTGGCTGTACAGTATTGTTCACCCTGTTAGATCTTTGAGTCAATGTACTTAGGTATTGTGTGTGATTGTACCATGTTATATGGCTAGGGAAGGTTACATTATTATTTCTCTTTATAGGAATACAATATTGTCATTATACACATATGTATGTTGTGGTATAGGATGTTATATGTGTATGTTATATTAGGTCATATTATCTTCTTTTGTAATGTCTGAATATATTATGTTACATGTTTGTCATGCCAGGTTATGTTTCTTTGTGTTGTCTAGGTATGCCATGTTAGTTGGGTGCCCTGTTATATTATGTAAGATGTCCTAATCTATATGAGTTAGGTACAGTACTGTAAACCTGTACATCTAGAGTTGTGAATTGTAATTCTTCGATATTTTAATCTTGAAATTCAATGGATATTTAAAGTTTAATTTGCAAGAACCTGTGACTACAGTATATTCCTGGAGAAAATATCACAGGTCTTGATGACATTGACCTTTTTGACAGTTATTATTGAGATGACCTTTCCCACCGTTACTGTTGTAGTGACCTCTGACCCCACTGTTGCTGTGGTGACCTTATCTGGGGGTACTAACCCAGTTGTTGGGAGGGACGGGAGTACCATCGTCCAGGACGTTCTTGGGTTTGGCCCAGATGTAGTAGTTAGTATATGGATCCTGCCGCTTGATAGACTTCTGAAACCAGGGATGTTGGTCGCTGCTGTGATTAGGCACAAAGTCCATCACCACCTTCAACCCTGTGAGGAGTGGATGGATGGATGGTTAGTTGACTTCTGAAGTGGTTGGATGGATGGTTAGTTGACTTTTGAAGTGGATGGTTGGATGGGTGGTTAGTTGACTTTTGAAGTTGATGAATGGATGGTTAGGTGACTGTTGAAGTGGATGGATGGTTAGTTGACTGTTATTCCATCCCATTCGCCACTGATCGGCTCTTTAGCAGTAGATCGATGGTTAATTGACTGTTAGAGTGAATTTATAGTTAATTGGCTATTAGAGTAGATGGATTGACCTTTGTTGTGGAAAGTGTTGACAAGGGCATTGAAGTCAGCCATTGTGCCGAAGATTGGGTCAATGTCGGTAAAGTCGCTGATGTCATAACCAAAGTCCTTCATGGGTGACTTATAGATGGGGCTTAACCATACGGCACCCACACCCAGCTCCGAGAGATACTCAGCTTTGGACCTGATACCTGAGAGAGAGAGAGAGAGAAAGGTTGTTAGTCATCTCATTGTAGTTTCTTATATAAGCAGGATATTTGTACAGTTCTTTTATCCATCTCACTAATTAATGATACACCCCAACAAAATAATAATTACTTTGACACTAACATACCAGATGCTCCCCCAGCTTGATACAATCTGTTTACCATTTTACTTGGCAGCTCCCTCACTCAATAACTTGGTGCAAAGCGAAAAGACAACCATAAGCTGTCAATTATCTTAACCTACCGATGAAGCTCTGTAAGGAGTTCTCCCCTTAGTAGCTGAACCCCTCTGCTCTATCATCAATACTTCTATGATCAGAGAAGCAAGATGCCCCAATGTCAGGAAGACTTCATAGGTTTCACTAATACCGAAGTCAACAATCTATAACAGTTTCGACTCACCCCGATTCCTAGCCCAATTTCCGAGGTTTTTTGTATGACTGGGCGTTTATACGGTTATCACAAGGCGTCAGACCTTCAGTAAATCGCCACTCACTGCCTTGTCAGCTTCCGGGACTTGATCAGTATTTTTTTCATCCTCGCCAATTTTAGAGTTTTTTTGGTTTGTTTAATTACAGTGAGATAAAAACGCTTCAAAAATTTACATGAAAGGTTAAAACACAAAGGACTACAATTTACTGCGCTAAGTATAATTATCAAATAAGTCATTAAAATATTGTAAGCTGAAACTGAAGAAAAATGGGCTTATCAATGTACAAAACTAATAATCAAGTGAGACTTCAGGAGTAGACAACCTCCTGAGTGTCGTCATAAAAGTTTATCTTAACCTTAAGTAAACGAGAGGCATTACCCGGGTATCGACCTTAACACCTTGATTGATTGATTGATTAAAGGATATAAAGCTGTTGTAAATCCACTCCGAGAACTGTCAAGGAACACTGAAACTTAATTTGTAGTAATGAGTTGGAAAAGACATACTGGTGAGCTAGCCAGTTCCAGGTAAATTATTGTACAGTACTGTACAGTATTTTACATCAGTTACTGCCTTATTTCTTGATATATTGATAGAATCTATATTGATACGTTTGTTTTAATTTAATCAAATTCCTTGGGGGCAAGAACAAACAGGAAAAAAAAATGAAAATAATGTATAACGTGGGGGCAAATTAGAAACCTCTATCATTATGTCCGGACGGATGTGAAGCTGATGTTATCTAGTGTGACAATAATTAGTTTCTCATCCTCTTCGCTAACTCTGAAATCACAAAGGACAATATCAAATCAGGAACAATGGGCTGATTCAACAAGCCTTCCCGACAAAGCGGTAAATTAATTATAAAAGCATCTTGCCTCACCATTGCCACCTAGTTAGAAAGTTGTTCACTTTTAAATTATCTATCGAGGAGCAGGTTATGATATATATGCTAACATTTCAGTTCATCTGAAAGAAAAGTTTGTAAACTTTCGTCATGTTTAATTTTGACGAAAATTAATCTGTCATCAGTCAATCAATCTCTGATGCCATTACTCCTCACAAGGTACCTGTTGTCTCTATTTCAACGGCATCAGTTTAAAGGGCTACACGTAATCACCTTGGTATTTTGTACTGTAGATTGAGAGTTTGGGAGTTATAACTATTTTTTAAATACTTGGAAATTACTGCATACCAATACATGACTAAGACTAAGTTTGTATTATGACACAGATATTAAAAAAATATATCAACTTTCATTTGACCTTCACTTGTCTGAAAGTCTGTCAGTCAACCTTATTCATCACAACACATGAAATATACCTCGTAAACCGCCACTGCCTCGACCTGACTTGTCGAAAAACGAACGGGGATACACTTGATATATGACTACTTCTTGCCACCAAGGAACTTTCTTTTTCTTGGATTCCGATTTGTTGGAGGAAGAAAGGATGGACGGACGCTTGTGAGGGGAAGCCATGGCTGGCGGGTGTGTCTTAGCAACACTGGCGCCGCGGGGTCTCGGGCAGCCGTACGACCCTCACTACAATCTGGCACATGTCCAACCAAGGAATATCAAAGGAGTTACAGCATTAGTCAAAGTAAATCAAGCCCTATTAGTTGGATGCTTGTCCTAGAGACGGCGCTGGATCGTTGGTGTGTCTGCCTTCTGTTGACATATTTTGCACTTTAAAGTTGGCTAGGTGGCGTGGCTCCAACCGTGGTGTTGTTTGTAGGAAAAACAAGGAAATGATAGCAAATTAGGATTCCATTTCTTCTCAAAAGACAGGATAAGGTAAGTAAATAGTTATGCGGTTGATTCATAGGTAGTGGCGATTAAATTGCAGTTTAATTTATCATTTCGCCGCTGATCTTACAAGCCATTCATGCGACAGGTCTCTTATTGTTACTTTGCTGTGAACTTGATTGTCCAGTAGCACCCATCGAGCACCCCCCCCCCTCGTTTTATAGATGTTTCTATTATAAGTTTATCTCTTCAAATTTACAATGAGAAATACAGGAAACCAATTGAAGAAAAGTAAGAGTGAGGTTCGTTTACATTTCTACGCGTACTATATAGTGGTTCGTGCCTCGCAGACTACCTGTCTATGAGGCGAAATGCAAATAACGTGAAATCGACTGTAACTTTTTTTCAAATTAGTTTCCGACAATTTTGTATGGCATATCTGGAAAGAGGAGATAGAACTACCCCCCCCCCCATAAACTGCATTTGAAATCACATATCCACGCGCATTTATAACAAATTTAGGATATAGTTCGGCCCTGTCGCTCATGTCAAAGCGGGACAAATACCTTTTCAATCCCCACATTTTCCTTCCATATAACATAGTAATTAGTATCGTGCTTGAGCAGTTGTTTCGTGTTTGTTATACATATTTTCAACTGCAGTTGTGACAGAATTAAAAAATAACCTTGCTTAAAAAAAAAGGTGTAATTTATTGGTACTTCCCAGGTCCTTTACATGCAGCCACCTTTAATTTTTATTTAATTTGATGGTTGATGTTTTTATTTATAATTAATATGTATAGCCTAGTTAAGTAAACTGAACCGAGCATGCTTACATCATAAGTTTCTTTCGTAACCTCCACTTTCATCCTCTGCTAACACTCGACAATATAGTTCGCAACAATACTAACTAAAAACAGACAAACATCCCGAATGACTAATAAGTGGTGAAATGATAATAATAAAAATAGAGAAGGAATTAATGAATGCTAATGGTAGAGAAAATAAACGGCGAGAAATACTATAGTTACGACTAAAATATTTTTTCTCAAACATAACGCTCATTTTCTATGATGGTTGGCTTGTCCAATAGATGGCAACAATGTCGGGGCCTTAAAAAATATAAGAGTTGTAGTTCCTTATGATAGATATTCCTTGTATCCAACAGTTGTTCTTATTTAACGTTATTCATTTAGGGGAGATTTCAACCTCGATTTCATTGAATTTATCGAATAAGTATTAAAGAACTGACGATTAAAGATATCACCCAACCTGGCATATTTCACCAACAAGAGGAAATACGTTTGGTGTATCAAAGGTTGACAGTTTTGTCCCGAGCGCCACGCAACTGGTTCAGGATAGAATTACGTGTCATGCAATTTATTGCAAGTTGCAACGTTACTCATTCTTACCCAAGTAAACTCCCCACAGTTTTCAAGTTATATTTAATGACTTTAGAAGTAGAAAAGTAGACTAGAGATTGATTGAAATTAATAACTGCGACTTCACCGGGTAGCTACACAATAGTCAATTGATACAATATCTGACCACCTTTACTGACTGATATCAAAGCTTGCGACCACTGTAAACACACTTGTTTAATGTGTGTGTGTGTGTGTGTGTGTTGGATGGTTAAACATGACTGTTCTCATTTCCCGTAAAAATGATAAGCAGGTGTTAGTCAGCTCTCTAAACGTTTTAATGACTGACTTGACATGGATACTGTCCTCCCGTGACTCGTTATCTGCTACCTCCGCCCGAGTCTTGCACTAAGGCAGTTTATCATGAAATCTTGTTGATATTTGTATGAATTTAAAGTTGGTATCCTAGAGTATTTTTTCGAAAATAATGTTTCATAACGTTTTGCTCCCAAGTTGTTGACTTGTGTACTGTATATTCTGGATGATGACGTCAGACCTGAATCTAACGAACAAGTTTTGATTCTGTTTAAAAAATCTGAAATTTGACATTTACAAAGTTGAGTCTTCACCATCATTCGGGGCACTAATCCGAATGCTCCCCAGTCCTAGAAGCCCCTCATTACAATGGGCTCAAATTGACCCCAGTGCTAATGGGCCTCAGACCTAATGGTGATGTTAAGGTGGGTGGGCTTATACGGGCGTGGGTTGTATACCTATTAGGTCGCCAGTTCCGTCCGGTTGACCGTCGTAGAGAGAGCGCGGGTAAACTTGGAACACGACGCTCCTCTTCCAGAAGGGCTCGTCGTCTATCACAGGCTCTGGTCTCTTGCCGTTCCTACAACACAGAAGATAGATAGACAGATAGATATTCAGAAAATTCGTCATACAAGTTCACATTGGTTCAGCATGTACAATCAAAGACAAAAGTTGTGTCGCGGTTTTGTCCGAAGATTAAATATAACCCGTGAAACATTATGAGAGCCCTACCACAAGGCAGAGCGCACCAAAAGTTAGCCCTTCGGCATATGCTTTCACCAAATTTCACGACACGACTTTTGTCTTTCACTGTACAGAAATAGTGCAGATATACAAACAAATTAACAATGGTAAAAAGCAAGTAGATTTAACTAAGGATAGCCCAAGAAAGCTGTTTGAAGTTAATTCCATCGGGAACCTTTTGTGAGGTTGTGGTATCTAACCAAATAACAATAATTATGTGACCATAAACATGACAAATATTACATTGCAGTTCGACTAATTGAGTGTTGGGTCTTTCTACAATGGATTATGATTTATTATACCTAACTCACTGTTAACAATTGTGTACCATTTCTTTGGTGAGATCATATTTGTAAGTTTTAGTTCAGTCGTAAGATATATCTTGGAATAATGTAAAGAATAGAATAATACGTGAATATTGAACATGAGCACACCAGTTACGTGAGTCACTGGCAGTGTTGCCAAGTAGACACTTCCAGTCCCTTCGTGCCTATCTTCATACTGTACATTGTATCGTACTGTATTTGTAAAAAAAAATCGTTAACGGCTATTACATTGACACACTTAAAACTATTTATTCCTGTGATTAGATCTATATAAATTAGGTGGGTAAAAAATAGGCGAATAATTACTTTGCCGTGAAACAGACGAGGATGATAATGATGACGCCGACAAACAGGGTGGCAAAGAGAAACCCGAGTATCATCCGTCGCTCCATGGTGTGTCTGTTATATGTCTTTATCTGCCTAAACGCTCCTCCGCAGTTTCCTTTTATCGTCAGTCCTGTACATAGTAAGAGGTTCATTGTGAATTAACTAAATTCGATGGAGAAACAGGAGTATACAAGACTGTTATTGCTAGAAACATCACCATAAACAATACCACATAAATTTTTTTTTCGGGAAGACGAACCAGACTGTAATCCAACGACCTAACAGCTGGCTTAGATTAAGATAGGTTTTGTTGGTTCTGTTCGGTGTAAATATTTTAATATTAATAATTTATCATGAGTACATTTCATTAACGTGCCGTGAGTTATGTTTATTGTTGATGTAGTGTGTGTGTGTGTGTGTGTGTGTGTGTGTGTGTGTGTGTGTGTATCAACTACTGGAAGTGTAGTGTAGAAAAATTACCACGCACCATCCAAGCTTAACCTAATAATCCTACGATACTTTGAACAGTATTTAATAATTCTGGTGGTTAAAGCACCTAAAACTTACATCCACTGAACGATGCTTATTATCTTGGAATGTCAAAATATATACGTAATACAAAATAACAAGAAAAACAGAAATTGGTCACCTGCACATTGTGTTTCACAATTCACAGTAAATAGAACAATTGTGTGTCAGAGGAATACAACACAAAGAACGTACAAAACCTAATTATTTTCACCTAACACTGGAATGTTTTAACTCTTAAGGTGATGATCCAGGTTTTCAAAGATTCCTAACTTTAACTTTTTCCGTAAAGTGATGATGTATCAAAGTGGTTTAATTACACTGCAGTTCATGTATTACTTCAAAACAGTATCGATGACTGCAGTGAGACTTTACACAGAGACAGTGTACTGAGACTACCATAAGTATAGTTAAGCACAGTGCAGTGAGACGGAGTATAGTTAAGGACACAGGAAATATAACAACTAATACATCTTTTAGAATCCTTTTCTAGATTTTCTGTGCTGATTAATACTATTAAGTAAATGACAATATTTGTTAGCAAGATATCCATATTAGAATGTTTACAATTGGTTTAGCATGTATATAGACAACGTTGGTATGAAGTTTACTGTATATCGACGGTGCAGATATACAATGGATACCTGCACCGTAACGTGTCAACCACAGGGAAAGTTTTGAATCATCTTCTGAGTTCAATTTTAGCAATTGCCTTCGATTTCCCCAATTTTCCTGCACTATGATTGCTATCTTCAACAGGTAAGATCTTGCCTGTTGTTGCAGTGACTTCAGGGCGTTAGAGAGCTGTGTGTTTACTGAACTTGCCTACTGAACATGAGTTGTCATTTGTATCTTACGAGACTGACCACCAGCATACTTTGCAAACCTCTCGAGGGCCATTCTTCAATTTCTAAAGCTGAGGATACAAACACTATTTTTTGCCGTTGATAGCTGTTTTGTAATAAAAGCATAACACCCTTCCCAACAAGGATCATAGTGGAGCCACGAAAACTCTGAACCATTTATCCTGGAAATGGAGAGTTTCGGCTTCAGACCCATAATAGTAATCGTGCGGGGTCTGACTGATGACGGCTATTTCCAAGATCTTCTTTCCCCAACTCCCTTAATTCTGTGGTTTCTCTTTTAGACGATCTTCTGGTTGATTGCGTATGCATAATTGAGTGAACAGATGTTTCAGTCGCGAAAGAATATCCGTGTCTTTGGAAAAAGTAGGGGTGGGTGTACAATCAATGTACCTGGACTGTACAGGTATATAAACAATGTACAGTACAGTACATAGATAGCGCTGGTATACAAACAGTGGCAAACAATAAGGCAATTTGAACCAAGGATAGCCAACAAAACTACCAGACACTTATTGCCAGTGTTAATGGATTAATTAGGTTACTTCAGCATTTGGAACAATACAAGATGATCTTACCTGTACTAATTAGAAGTATATTGATCTGTACTCTGGAAGTGTATGGTGTTCACGCTCTCAGCTCCGATGTGTTGTGAGATGAGGGCCGGCTGGGGTGTAGATGTGCTAGGTATACTGAGTCAGGGTGTGGAGGTAGCCTGTGTACTGAGTCAGGGTGTGGTGGTAGCCTGTGTACTGAGTCTGGGTGTGGAGGTAGCCTGTATACCGAGTCAGGGTGTGGAGGTAGCCTGTATACTGAGTCAGGGTGTGGAGGTAGCCTGTATACTGAGTCAGGGTGTGGAGGTCGCCTATATTCTGACCAGGGTGTGGAGGTACACTGCTGGCCACATGAAGTCTAGAGGTGTTTGTTCGTGTTTATCTATCGATGATTGCCAGTAGATAATGTCCGAGATTGTGTGTGTGTATGTATGTATGTATGTATGGATGTATGTATGTATGTATGTATGTAGCCTATGTATGTATGTATGTGTGTATGTATGTGCTTGTATATGTATGTATGTATGAGTATGTATGTATGTATGTATGTATGTATGGATGGATGGATGGATGCGTGTATGTGTGTGTGTGTGTATGTGTGTGGATGTGTGTATGATATGTACTGTATGTGTGTGTCATTATATTATTATTATTATTATTATTATTATTATTATTATTATTATTAGTAGTAGTAGTAGTAGTAGTAGTTAAAAAGTAGTAGTAATAGTAGCATCATAATAGTTAGTATATCGCATTGACAGTCACTTTATCATCATAAGTCACTATATCAGTTATTATTATATAAACACTCAAGAAAATAAAAACTAGATAAGCTGTCGTTATTCAGATATAATTTTCGGATTTTACCCCCTCACTCATTGTACAGGTTCATCGGTAAGTGCTACCAGGTCTGTCTGTAGGAGGGGGAATGTTTGGTATTTAAGGGAATACGTGATTTAATTCTTATCCCACGGTAGTTGAGACACTTGGACAGTAGAGCCGTAATAGATAAGCTCCTATTGGCCCTCGTGAAATGCCCCTCCATTTACCCTCTGACTTGATCTGTGTCATGTCAGATTAGTCAGGATTTTTCCACATCAAATAAATTTAATTCGTCCTCAACAAGTGCTGTTTTAAGAGTGGACTAACATGAAGGCAAGTAACTAGGGTATTTTCCTTTGGTTTTCTCCCGTGGTGGGTCTTATGTCATGGGGCTTGGACCTCGGCAGTATCTACAAGCTACAGGATGTGTCCAAAAAGGTCCCGCGATTGTTTCCTTCCCACCGCCAAATGGAATATAGGTCCTTGTTCTCCTGTTCATTACCATTATTTAAGGGATTAATTGCGGTGCTGACCAATTTCGGTATGTATTGGGTATGAGTGAGGAGTGTGAGGAGATATGTGTAAAGTATTTTCACCATTTGAGATATGAGAATGAAGTAAGAGAGACGAAGAAAAAGAAAATGAGAATGAAAGTTGAGTTTTTAGCGATAACTCGCCTGGAAGTTGAATGCTCTCACATACACAGGGATAAAGAAAGGAGGTACTCAACAGGTTAAATAAGAGGGCGGATCAAACAGTAATAGATAAATAAAGATGATATAGAGGTTCTTATTTTTACGCCAACAATATTACTGGCTTACTGTTATGGAGTAAGATTAGCAAGTTAAGAGAGAGAGAGAGAGAGTGTAACAGTGTCACGCCACCACTGAGCTTTTGAACTTAAACATATCTTCTTCACTCACACACGGGCTAGGACCAGTATATATGATGGTCCTCAACGGCCAAGGATCAAGTATAAATAGAACACACTTTAGCGAGGCGTCTAGACCTTTGACATACTGTACAGGGTGTCTCATAGGTGGTGCACCATACTGTACAGGGTGTCTCATAGGTGGGGCAGATAAACTAAGAGTAAAGACACAGTTTAATATTCAACACGGATCAATTGAGAAAAACAAAATAATCCACCTTAACCCAAGGATTAATAATGGTTAAATTCACACAACTTAACACACATAAGCTATGACGGCACACTTAGATAAGACAATTATTATCATCTGAGACACGAGTACCCAACCCCAAGTGGTTTTTTTTTTAAAGTCTCACTGAAGAGGGGTGAGCTACTCTGGTCACGCATTACTACCATGACAGTTGACACCAATATGACTGTCATGTCTCGTAGTCTTTGTAATGCCTTAGTAGAATTACCCAATAGATAAAGATGATTCGATAATGTTATGCATTCTTTAGTACGATATAAAAGTGGGGAAATAAATGAACAGTTTAGCGTCCATCACTGAAACGGATGTGGGGTTCGGTTCGGTTAGGTAATTTTTTTTTATTGGATTAGGAGAGATACAGATACAAGGCTCAGTCACTTAATACACCGTGGGGATCACATGTTAACTCAGGGTGTCATTCTCGTGAGCCTGACGTCGCATATCTCACTCAATTAAGAGATAAGTATATAAGCTACTCATAATTATCTCCCCATGTGGTCTAGATATTTGTGAGTCAGGTCTGTTTTATAAGGTAGTGGTGATGTTATATTACTGGCTCTGATATTGGTACTGACTCATATTGGTACTGACTCATATTGGTACTGACTCACATTGGTACTGCCTCACATTGGTACTAGCTAAGCTTGTGGGTTAAGTCATGGATTAATGGATTAAGACATTATCCATTGCGGCTATTGCTCTCAAAACTTTCACCTGCTCTCCTCTCCCTTGTAGTCTAATAATAATACTTTATCTAATTTAATTATTCGTTTCACTTGATATCATCCAGTACAAAGCGAAAGCAAATATCGTCCTATAAATTTTCGTAGATGTCGCTTGAATGTTTACGTTACAACAGCAATATTATCCTCATTAAATCTTCTTTTAAATGTGTAGTGTAGATTTACCGAGAGGAGAGATTGCGTGTGTATGTGTGTGTTTTGGGGGGGGGGTGACACTCGACCAGCACCATCACCGAGTTAGTCATGTTAACAGCTTGTGATTGAGAAGGGAGCTGAGGCGACGTTGTGTCTGGCCTGTCGTATTGTGTCGCCCTTACAATTGTGGTTTTGGTAATAGGGTACTTGTCCTTGATACTGGGTTCTGGTACCAGGCTCCTTGATGCTAGGTTCTGGTACTAGACTCCTTGATACTAGGTTCTGGTACTTGGCTCTTTGATACTAGCTTCTGAGACTATACTAGCTTCTGAGACTAGGCTCCTTGATACTAGATACATTTTTTAATATCACACACACACACACACACACACACACACACACACACACACACACACACATTATCATGGCAACTTTGAACCCTGATAGAAATCTTAACTTGAAAGAGACCAATTTTTACCCATCGTGACCTCGAAGTCGTCGCGTATGTATAGAGGATAGTGATTGCATATTGCTTCTTCAGGCAAAGATGAACGTTCTAGATTTCTTCATACGTTTCATTTCTTTTCGTATATCTTAAACGTATAGGTCATAAGGCAAAAAGCTCTAGTTTGTAAAAAAAATAAAATACCTGAGCGAACAAGTAAATACTACAGTATATATATATATATATATATATATATATATATATATATATATATATATATATATATATATATATATATATATATATATATATATATATACCCCCGTATATACAGCAGACAGTGAAGGTATACATTATACAAGATTCACTAAGATCTCTCATAAATTGCATTGAGTATTGTAAAATAAAATGTTAATGTGACAAAATATGGAACCCTCAGCTCTTGCCAGTGACTTGAAAGATGTCGAGGTGGGGTGGAGCGAAAGAGCCGTAGATTTGTGTTTAATTTCGTGCACATATGTTACACAGTGATTCACAGCACATTTGCATTATTACAGTATAGGTATACGATATACACTACATACAGTATATAGACAGTTCAGGTATATCAGTATATCAGAATTATTATCTTGTGCAGATATTAATAAAATAAATCAACCATAAATGGTCATGGAAGTGTATTTTTGAGGTATTATGTTTAAGTACAACACTGTCTATAGATCGGTCGAATATAAATGTTCAGAGTCTGTTGTACACTGTCTAGGATCTCCACAGTTCCCCCCAGAATGCCTCGCGGTAAACAGCGTGACGTTTGAGGTGTCGGGGTACCTGAGATCTCATATCTGGAGTAATAATACAATGCGTTGGTAAATCTTTAATTAACGAGATACCAAGACGAATTTGAAGCAGTGAAATGAATACAGCTATGCGTGGTTTATTTCAAGATTAAGATATTATGGGAAGAGGGAGGGGGGGGCCTGAAACCCTCCATGGCAACAGACTGGACCACTGAGACACATGCAACACCTAATTCCCTGTAACTGGATGACGTTGCCAGTTTTTTTCATCCGCCTCACCGCGGGGAACACAGACGGGACTTCCTTGCACCTCGCTGCCTATCAGGACCTCCGTGCAGGTAGCATGACTAAGCTGTGAGGCCTTCTTCGCCCCCCCTCCTCCCTGGCGTACTTGAATTAGAGTATTTGTCCGTTCCCATCTCGTGGTTGTCGTCTGAGGAGGGGGAGGAATGGTCCCAAGGTCCCCCCTTCCACATTGTGTGGTCGCCGCCGCTTGAGAGCCCCGCCGCCGCCGTACCCTAGTCCCTAGACAAGAGCGTGGACTAGGGTTGCCACTCAGCAGTCTTCAGAACTGACCAAACCTTCTCTCAGGTCATTCTCCTCGTGCACTGGAAACTGGTATGACCACGAATAGTTGATGTTTAATGATGTGGCCAATATTACAATACTTCATCCCCGAGTGACTCAACATGTGATTTTTGACGCTACTACTGAAAGTGAGAGCGCCATTATCTCTACCTGTTCCCCCACTCCTCCATCCCCACACATTCCTTGGCTGGTTGTAAAAAATTACTTAACGTAAATACACAAAATGCTTGAGGGTTTCTTATGTATTTACGGATATTACGTCATTATATGCAGGGTGTCTCAGAAAAAAAAAATATTTACACTGTCTTACAGATTTCCGCGGAGAATGTATGAATGTTTGCATTACATCAGAAACAATTTCCTCATCTGTTGATGCCTGAGGTCTCCCAGAACATTATCGGAGACCTACAGTAGGTTAGGTTAAGTTTGTCATATATCCACCACGATAGTTTTAATGACTCGTGTCCTGTCTGAGTTTTGTTGTCACACACACACACACACACACACACACACACACACACACACACTCTTTTAAAATAACTGGCTGTGTGTTAAGAACATAAGAACATCAGAAAATAAGGAGTCTGCAATAGGCCGGTTGGCCTGTGCATGGCAGCTCCTGCCGAGAGTTACTACCACTC